AAAAATAATAAGTAAAAGGAAAACTGTATCTCAACATTTACTAGAATACAGGTGAAACTGTAGTATTAAAAGTTATTTCTGGGCTGGCCCGGTGGCGCACTGCTGAAGTGCGCTGCTTGGGAGTGCAACGGCGCTCCCGCCGAGGGTTCGGATCCCACGTATAGACTGGCTGCTCACTGGCTGAGTGAGGTGCGGGAGCGACACCGAGGGTTGCGATCCTGTTGCTGGTCCCGGTCCGGTACAGGCGCGACACTGAGGGTTGCGATCCATTGCCGGACACGAAAAAAGACAAAAAGACAAAAAAAAAAAGTTATTTCTTATAAAATAATCCTTTAAAATATAAAATGATAAACACCATCACAAAACAGTTGAATAGCTTCTTCCAAATGTTCAATGTTACAAAGATCCAAAAGGCACACGAAGCTCATGAGTTAAGTATTATTAAGCTGGAAGTACATTTGGTGGGTTTGTCTGGGTCCATATGAAACAAGCCAATAACAAGAAGTTTCTTAGAGGGATTCATCTGCTGAACACTTTTGAAATTTTTCATTTAGTTTCTTCATTTTATCTGTGATGCCAGGACAGGCAGCTTCAGCCACAGCAATACTTTTGAGTTCTTCAGTTGCGTGGCTCCTGCTCGCATTATTCTTATCCTGCTATTTAAGTTCAACAAATGCAGGTATAGTTATCTAACACAAACAGCTCAGGGTTTGCACAAGATCTTGCTCTGCCCCATTGTGTAGTTTCTTTGGACCAGGCTTCTTTTTCACTGTTGAAAAGTTCCATTCAGGGTGAGTATTATTTTCCCTGTTGGTGGATTCCGAATCAGAGTACTTGGAATGAGATTCATCATCACTGTGTCCTGCCTTCCATCTTTTAAATTAATCCATCAGTTCAGTCAGATAATTATTCTTCTTTGAATTTTTTACAAGGAATTTGTGTTTCAGAAATTCTGCAGCTATAGGACGAAATAATGGATCTTTGTTCAGACAAGCATCAATAAACTCCTTAATAGACTTATAGAAGTCTCCAACACGAGTTATAGGATTGTTTTTTGGAATAAGAAACATCTCTCATTGTATGCATATCAGAGTTAGGTGGCTCTCCCTTGACTGGTTTAATAGTAATTCCCAGTGACCGAATGTAAGTTTTTGAGTCATAAGCTGACTGCTGAATAACTTCAGGAGCCATCCAAACTAGAGTTCCCACAAAGATATTTCTTTTAATTTGTTTATCTGTCAGCTGGCTAGCAACTCCAAAGTCAGTAAGTTTAACATCTCCTTGATCTGAGAGCCAGACAGTGGCAGCTTTTATGTCTTGGTGAATTTATTTTCTGAATGCAGATAGTCCAGACCTTTCAAAATTTCCTTTAGCATGGTAGCGATCTGAAATTCATCAAATGGACCAGCTTGCAGAAGATCCAGTGCTGAACCACCACCCAGGTATTCCATTGTTATCCATAATTTCGAACCCTTTAAATATGACCGATAGTATTTTGTTACCTAGACGTTGTCACACTGGCTCAAAACAGTTATTTTTTGGTGAATGTCTTCTATTTCATCTTCAACTTCTCAGGTCTGTGATTTTAGTAGCAACCACTCGCTAGGTACAGTTATCAATTCCTTTAAAACACGTTCTAATTTTGTGAACAGTTCTTCTGGATCACCTATCTTATTGTGCATCCAAGGCATTTTTTCACAGCCACCAGTGAGTGTGCCATGAAGGTGAGTGCTGTTTGTATTGCTTCTGTAGTGGTGATTCCTTGGGCTGGGATGGCTCCTCCTCCAGGAGTAGCTTGGCAACCCTCACTGGCTTTTCGATCGGGGCCTTTCTGGCTCCCACCCACCACTGTTGCTGCTGCCTCCACTTCTACTCTTCTTCCTGAATGTGGGGTGCTCTGTGTGGTGGTGGCTGGGACCTGGGTTCCAGTGGATGCTGCTCTTCTGGGCCTCACTGCTTTAGGAAGAGGAGGTGGAGGCACCCCAGCAACCTGCCCACTTGATTGGCCAAGGAGGCCTAATCTTTTTAAAATTTAAGCTGTGTTTTGTGGCCTAACATGGTCTATCCTGGAGACATTTTTATTTTTTAATAAAATTCATGACTTAAAATATTTTTCCACAATAAGTTTGCCAAACTGCACAATCTGAGAGAACAGTGCTCCACAAGTCTGCACTCACTTCAAATACACCAGCCACATGTTTTGGGGCTCCCGGGCATCCCTCATTTCTGCCACCCTCAGGTTTGATAATTCAATAGAGTGACTTCTAGAACTCAGGGAAGAGTAGTAGTATTATAACCATAATTGTATTGCAGCAGAAGGTCAGAACCAGTCAAAAGGAGAGATGACAAGGACTAAGTCTGGAAAAGTCACAAACACAAAGCTTCTGTTATCCTCAGGGTCTTCCTGTCATCTCAATACTGAAAGCATTATTAAATATTTAAAGAAATATTGCCATCCAGAAGTGTTCTTCTGAACTTGTGCCCAGAGTTTTTACTGGGGTTTCATTATTTAGGGAAAATTGAGCGAATCATTGACCAGGTGACTCATTCTCCAGCAGTCCTTTCCTTCACATAAGTGGTCTGATGTAATGGTGGCTCAAAGCCTGAACCTTCTAATCACATGATTGATCTCTCTGGTTTGGCTAACCTCCATCCAGTCATCTGTTTAGCACAAACCAGAGGCCCACCATAAGGCACCTCATTAGTATAAACTATCAGGTATAGGCCAAGGGGGCCACTGTGAATAACAAAGACATTTCTATCACTCAGGGCTTAGAGGTTACTTCTTGGGAACCAGAGACAAAGGCCAGCCAAATTCTTTATTACACAATTCTTTAAAGAGTTATGATGAGGATTTGATTGTAATTGAATGGAGATAATAGATGAATTTAGTGAGAATTAATGGCTTTATATTGATGATTCTTCATATATGAAAACAGGGTGCATCTTCTCCCTTTATTCAAACTTTTGGGAGGGGGTGTTTCCCTCATTAGAATTTTAAAGGTTTTGCTCATTTCTTGTAAAGTTTATTTCTAAAGTTTATTCCTTTTGGTGGTGGTGGTTGTCAATGTTAAAAGTATCTTTCTAATGTTAATTATTCTCCTTATACTTTCTTCTATTGCTTTTTAAAATTGATTTTAAAATTGGAAAATAATACATTCTTATTAGATAAAAATGTAGAAATATAAATAGTACGGTAATCAATCTTTCCTGTAGCTCCTACACTCTATTATGTGCTTTTTATTTACCTAATGATTTGTGTGGGTTTTGCCAACCCACTATATGTATACATAATTCTTTTTAATGGCTATTATTATTAGCTGTTATTATTATTTTGGTTACATTTCTTGCCTAGTATTTCAATATATTGTGGCTTTTTTATATATAGAGAGAGAGTGTGTGTGTGTGTTTTATTTTTTCAGAATAATCATTAAACAAGTTGATTTTCATTATAACCTTTAATATCATGTAAAATTAATATCATGTGGTATTAAAGTTCTCAGCCCTGATTTCTTTTTGTTTACATTTGCTCCTTTTAAATCTCTTTTGCTTATTTCCTCTTTTTTTGCCAAATATCTTAATGTTGGAGTGCTTTAGGGTTTATTCTTTACTCCTTTCTTTTCTCTTTATCTGCACTCATTCTTTTGGTAATATAGTCTCTTTAAATGCCATTTATGCGCTGCCAAATCCTAATTTTAAATCTCTAGTCCAGACCTCTCTTAAACAAACCCATGTCAAATGTTCACCTGTCAAAGTCTGTCTCCATTTTAAACTCTAAAGAATACCTTAAATTTAATACGCTCAAAACTGAACTCCAGATCTTCCATACCTTGCCACCCAAATCTACTGTAGCGCTGCCCTTCCCCATCATTGTTAATGACTATTCTTCTGTCCTTCCATTGCTCAGACCATAAATTTTGAAGGCATACTTGTTTCATCTCTTTCAATCACATTCCACATCCAATCTGTCAGGATATAAAATACACATAGGATCTGACCATCTTACTATACCTTCATTGATATCTCTCTGGTCTGAATCACTGTCATCTCTCACCTGGATTACTATAATAATATGTCTCCTGTCATCTCCCCTTGCTTCCCACCTTCCAGTATTTTCATAAAACAGCAACCAGATATCACTTCTCTACTCAAAACACTTCAATGGCTCTCCATCCCACTCAGCATAAAGCCAAATTACTTAGAAAGCCTATAAAATGTAAATAATCTTGTTACCCTTTACCTCCTGACTTCATCTTCTATTACTCACTCTAGCCATGGTGGCCTTCTTAATTTTCCTCAAACATACCAGACATGCTTCTACTTTGGGGCCTTCAAATCAGCTATTTCTTCTACCCAGAATGCTTTTCCCCAGAAATCTGAGTGACCAACTTCTTCACTTCTTTCAAACCTTTGCTTAAATGTTACCTTATTAATGATTCTTCCTACCTTTGACTTTGCCAGCATGGCTAATCTCTGTTATCCTTATCTCTGTTACCCTGCTTTTCTTTTTCTATAGCACTTAGTACCTTCTAAGATACAATAAAATTTGTCATTTATTTTCCATCTCCTCTAAGAAAACAAGGCCCATGAAGGTAAGGATCTTTGTTTTATGATATTGAAAGCATCTAGAACAGTGCCTTGCAGAAGGTAAATATTTGTTCAATGAATGATTTTGAATGAAGCAGCTATAAGAATGGAGACTTTCAGTGTCTGTATCAATACAGGCAAAAAATTATAACAAAGTTCAACCACATCCATAATTCATTCCTCTTACCCTGAGATTTATGTTACTGATTTTCTTTATAATTCTAATTATTCCTCCTTTTTGTATGCCCTGTTTTCAATTTCTCTTCTTGCACACTTAAGCACTATGAAAGCTGATATTGTTGCAGGTTTTATTTGTTATTGAATTTACATAATTCCTTGACATACATACTTTCATAAATGTAATTTCTGGTACACAGTAGAGGAGACATGTTTTTCTTATTATTACTTTCCAGGCTGGGGATCTATGTGTGAGACTGAAGAATTAATTCCCAAGCAGAGTCTTTACGAAGAACAATCATCTCAGAAGATAATAGAAAAACTTACAAGCTATGGCCTTGAGTACTGCAGTTTGACAGAAGAGTGGAAATGTGAGGGCCATTTTGAGAGGCAATTTAATCAGAAGACACATTTCAAGGAAGAGACAATCACCTTTGAAGAAGAAAGAGAACAAGAATTTAACAAACCGTGGGGAAGTTTCCATCAGAACGTGCTGCTTCATACACAACAAATAATCCCCAAAGAGGAGAAAGTATATAAACATGACACACATAAAAAAATCTATAAAAAAAGTGTAATGACTATTAAGCCCAAGAGTATCTATACAGACAAGAAAATTTTGAAATGTACTGACTGTTCAAAAGTCTTCAGCCAGAGTTCATCCCTTACTCTTCATCAAAGAATTCATACTGGAGAAAAACCCTATAAATGTGTAGAATGTGGGAAAGCCTTCAGCCAGAGATCAAATCTTGTTCAACATAAAAGAATTCATACTGGGGAGAAACCCTATGAATGTAAGGAATGTAGGAAAGCCTTCAGTCAGAATGCACATCTTGTTCAACATCTGAGAGTTCATACTGGAGAAAAACCTTATGAATGTAAGGTATGTAGGAAAGCCTTCAGCCAGTTTGCCTACCTTGCTCAACATCAGAGAGTTCATACTGGAGAGAAACCCTATGAATGTATTGAATGTGGGAAAGCATTTAGCAATAGATCATCCATTGCTCAACACCAGAGAGTTCATACTGGAGAGAAGCCTTACGAATGTAATGTCTGTGGGAAAGCATTTAGCCTTCGTGCATACCTCACTGTACATCAGAGAATACATACTGGAGAGAGACCCTATGAATGTAAGGAATGTGGGAAATCCTTCAGCCAGAATTCACACCTTGCTCAACATCAGAGAATTCATACTGGAGAAAAACCTTATAAATGTCAGGAATGTAGGAAAGCATTTAGCCAGATTGCCTACCTTGCTCAACATCAAAGAGTTCATACTGGAGAGAAACCCTATGAATGCATTAAATGTGGGAAGGCTTTTAGCAATGACTCATCCCTTACTCAACATCAGAGAGTTCATACAGGAGAGAAACCTTATGAATGTAATGTTTGTGGAAAAGCTTTCAGTTACTGTGGCTCCCTTGCCCAACATCAGAGAATACATACTGGAGAGAGACCCTATGAGTGTAAGGAATGCAAGAAAACCTTCAGACAGCATGCCCACCTTGCTCATCATCAGAGAATTCACATTGGAGAGTCACTCTCACCACCCAACCCAATCAATCACCAAGTACTGTAGATCCTATCTCCTAGATGTTCCTGGAATTAAACTCTTCTCTATTTTTAATGTTGTTACCCTAGTCTAAGATTCATTTCACCTAGATTACTGCTGTAGCTTTGTAACAGGCCTTTCTATATCCATTTTTGCTATCATTAAATTAATTTCCTGTAGTACACCCAAACTGATCTTTTTAAAGTATAAAAATACACACATCACTGTCTCTAGTTATTTGCTTGCTATTGTTCTTAGACTAACATCCACAACCTTTAAAATTGTCTGTGAAGCTCTCCATTATATGATTTTTACATACCATTCAGCCTTATTTTATTCCAGTCTTCTCTGGGTGCTAGGTATTTCTGAGGACCAAGAGCTTATATTCTGGAAAATCATAACTCTACCACTACTATGACATTGTGTGACTTTGAGCAACTTGATTAGCTTATCTAAACTTCAGGGTTTTCTTAAGTTCTTAGTAATAAAGGACACTGTATTATAGAAATGTGAGTATTAAATGAAATAAGGTCTGTTGTGGATTGATGCATATTGAATGACAAATTTGCATGTAAAGTACCTCACATAGCACATCAAACATAGCAGATATTCCATAAATAGTATTAGCTAACATGTATTTGAGTGCTGAGCACCAGGCACTGTTCCACATACTCAACATATATTAACTCATTTACTCCTCACAACTAAAGCAAGATTCCTTAGTGGACAAAGTACAGCATCCCTGGGAAGGACCAGATCAAAAGGGGAAGATCTAAAAATTTTAGAACATAAGTGGGAGTCTTTTTACTCTAGGTGAGTAATTGATAATAGAACTATAATACTTGTAACGAGTTTTAGGAAGTTTCTAAAGAGAATGAAGAGGATAAACCAATTAAAATAAGAAAATAGAAGTAACTGGGAAGAACGCAGAACTTACATTTAGATCAAGGAAAGAATAGAAATGATCACAATTAACTCTAAAAAAAACCCCCAAGAAACACAGAAGTGCATATGGTCCCATAAAATGGCACCAGGCCCAGGTAACTGTGTGGATGAATCCAAGTAATTTTGAAAGCAGGCAAATTGTTTCATACTATAGAGAAAAATGTAAAGTTTCCAATTTTTTTATCCCGTTTTTTCAAATTGAAATCAAACGGGTATTGAGCAAGGAAAACTATGGACAAATATATACATTAATACAGGCTTTCATTTCATTCAGTGAATATTGAGTGCCAGACAATGTTTTAGACACAAGGAGATAAAAGTGAGCAGTACTAAGACCATGTTCTCATGGAGTTAAACTTTCAGAGGCTGAGACAGTAAAGTTACTATACTTAAATATAAAACATTAGATTTTCTAAACAGAAAATTGAATAACAAAATAAATCGAGGAGTATTATGTAGCCTAGGCTGAAGAGATGAAAGATCATAAAGTTGGCAATTCTTCCTACTTCACAAACTCACTGTAATTCCAACCAGAATTCCTCAATGGATCTTTTTGCCCTTTAATTTCACAGGTTTGTTCTGAAATTCATCTATGAAGTGTAAGTTCTTAAAAATAGCAAGAAAATTATTGAGTCTAATCCATTTGTAGAAACTTTGCATATAATAATAATGTTTCATACCACTAGCAAAGGGATGGATTTGAACATATTAGAATAATACACATCATTAGTAGTAAGGGAAATGCAAAATAAGACCACAATGAACTAATTCAAAATCATCACATTGGCAAAAGCATCACAGTGGCAATTACTGGAAAGATGTAGAACAATAGGAACATTAATATAGTGCTATTGGAAGCAGTTGTATTAGCATAATTTGGCAATATATAGGAAAGTTGGAGATATGAATGACCCAGCAATTCCACACCTAAACCTCTATAGGGTCTCTCCTCATGTTTCAGGGGGATGTACAAGAAGGTCCTCTGTGGCATTGTAAGGATAAAAAGTTGAAAGCAGGACCAGCCCATGGCTCACTCGGGAGAGTGCAGTGCTGATAACACCAAGGCCCTGGGTTCGGATCCCATATAGGGATGGCCGGTTCGCTCACTGGCTGAGCGTGGTGCTGACAACACCAAGTCAAGGGTTAAGATCCCCTTACCAGTCATCTTTTAAAAAACAAAAAACAAAAAAAAAGTTGAAAGCAATCTAAATAATCATTAGGCTGAATATGTTAGAATGCAAATTAAAATGGATAACTAGAGATCCTTCTGTCAACATGCATAAATCTCAAAAATAGAATTAATGAAATTGAACTAGAGAGTATTTTGTATGATATAGTATCAATTATTAATACAAAGTTTGAGAACATGCAAATCAATGTTATATATGTTTTCCATGGCTAAATACTGTATAGAAAGAATGTAAAAACATTCTTTGAAAAGGTGATTCTCAAGCCAGCAGCTTGAGAAAAGCCCTCCTGATTTCATAAGTGTGTCAATTCCCTACCATCTCCCCTTGGGCACTGGTTCCCAACAGTGGTGAAAGGAAATGGAAAAGGAAAATGATGTGAAGCCATTACAGTAGAAGCAGGGGGTGGAGACTGAAATTTACTTCAGATAGATAGCATACAGGAACAATAATACACAGTAAATCTGGATTAAAAGATGTATGCTAAAATTAACTTAGTCACTGCAATTATAATCAATATCCAGCAGAATTTTTTGATGGTTTAAATTTTTTATCATATTTTTCTTATTTATGAGTCAAATGGAAAAGCAAGCAAGTAAGAATACCAAAGAAATTACCTACCATTGTTTGAATTTAAAAGAGGCCCCAGACCTACATATCTGGATGGTTGAGAATATCAATACAAAGCAGGATGGCAGAATGAGGAAGAGTGCTGTCTACCATACTCCAACACAGTGGAGTGAAAGTTGGTTAAAGCAGTAGATAAAACTTAAAGCCCTCCTCCCCATCCTATTGCCACAGGAGTATCCTTTAGATTAAGATGTGTGTGTGTGAACTGAGCTATATAGCTCAGTGTCTTTGTTATGGAATGGATTCAGCAAGAAAGTGGCAGACCCTCAAGAGAGTTGGCAAGTCAGAAGTTTATTGCACTGGTGGGCCACAGACGAGCTAACACTCTAAAGTTCTGGGCCCCAAACACAGGTCTTACAGGGCCTTTTATAGGTGGACTCTTTAAGTTTCAGTTTCTAAACATATATCTTAAGCAGGCAAGCAAGCTGGTTTCAGCTTCTCAGAATTCACATGACCTAAGCAGATATGCAAGCAAGGTTACAGAAGCAAGGAATGCAGGTGGTTGATTAATAGCTAGGCAGACTTCAGGGGGCCCCTGTAGATAAGCACATTTTGCTATAGAGGCATTGCACAAGCTAGGCAAGATTTGAATTCTGAAGTTTCCAACACCTTAAAGTAATTAAGGAAATAAAGGCTCAGCTTATATCCTTTTGCCATTGGTCCCTAGGATCTGGAATATTACTGTTCTGCTTAAATCCTATGCTCATAAACAGCTCTGAGATGGACTGTATTCGCCAGGCAGCCAGTTGTTGAACAGGAATATACTCCATGAATTATAGACTGGCAAGTGGATACAAAGGCTAATGACTGTGAAATACTACTTACAGTTTTTATTTTCATTTCCCTAATGACTAATGATGTTGAGCATTCTTTCATGTACTTATTGGCCAGTTGTATGTCTTCTCTAGAAAAATGTCTTTTCAAGTATGTTTCCAATTTTTTTTTTTTGACTGGTAAGGGGATCGCATCCTTCGGCATGGTGTTGCCCGCACCACGCTCAGCCAGTGAGTGCACCAGCCATCCCCATATAGAATCCGAACCTGCGGCCTTGGTGCTCCCAGCGCCACACTCTCCCGAGCGAGCCACGGGGCCGGCCCATGTTTCCAATTTTTTAGTTGGGTTGCCTTTTTGTTGTTGAGCTGTAAGAATTCTTTATATATTCTGAATACAAGTACCTTATCAGATATGTCATTTGCAAACATTTTCTCCCATCTCTTAGGTTGTTTTTCTTTTTCTTAATGGTGTCATTTGAAGCCAAAAAGTTCAATTTATCTAGTTTTTTCTTTTGTTGCTTGTGCTTTTGGTATCATAGCTAAGAGACTTTAATTGTAGATCACAAGGATTTATACCTATATTTTGTTTAAGAGATTTATAGTTTTAGCTCTTAAAATTTTTCTGCATAAGTTGATATAATCAGGTGTGTTTTTCCCACTTTATTCTGTTAATGTGGTATATCACATTGAATTTCATGTGTTGAAACACCCTCACATTAATGGAGTAAATTCCACTTGGTCATGGTGTATAATCTTTCTAATATGCTGCCAATGTGCTAGTATTTTGTTGAGGATCTTTGCATTTATATTCATCTATAGTCATAAGGAATATTAGCCTGTAGTTTTTGTTTCTTGTAGTCTTTGTCTTTTGGTATTAGGGTAAGCTAACTTCATAGAATGAGTTTGGAAGTGTTCCCACCTCTTAAATTTTTTGTTAAGAGTTTGAGGAGTATTGGTATTGATTCTTCTTTAAATGTTTGGTAGAATTGACAAGGGAAGCCATGTGGTCCCAGGCTTTTCTTTATTGGGTGGCTTTTTATTACCAACTTAATTTTCTTATTTGTTATAGGTCTATTCGGATTTTCTATTTTTTCTTGTGTTTGTTTTTTGTAGTTAGTGTTTCTAGGAGTTTATCCACTTCATCAAGTTTATCAAATTAGTTGGCCTACAATTGTTCATACTGTTTTCTTCAAATCCTTTCTGTTTCTGAAAAATTGATAGTAATGTCTTCACTTTCATTTCTGATTTTAGTGATTTCAGTCTTCTCTTTTTTTATAGTGAATCTAGTTCAAAGTATGTCAATTTTACTGATATTTTCAAATAATGAACTTCTGGGTGTGTTGTTATTCTTATTTTTTAATTCTCTATTTTGCTTATTTCTGCTTTTATCTTTGTTATTTCCATCTTTTGACAGCTTTGGATTTAGTTAGTTCTTTTTCTAGTTTCATATGGTATAAAGTTAGATTATTGATTTGAAATCTTCTTTTATAATGTAGGCATTTACAGGTAAAAATTTCCCTCTTAATACCACCTTTTTTAAAATTTGTCTATTAAGAGGCTACCCTTTATTTTAGATATTATTCACTTTTAAAATATTTGCAACATTAAAATAACTTATGCAATGGGCATGCAAAATATAAAACAGTATAATAAAAAGAACCAGAACATTCTGTCTTAACACCACTTTTGATGCATCCTACAAATTTTGGTATTTTGTATTTTTGTTTTGATTTGTCTCAAGATATTTTCTAATTTCCTTTGTGATTTTGTCTTTGGTTCTTTGGTTGTTTAAAATGTGTTTAATTTCCACATATTTGTAGTTTTTCCAATTTTCCTTCTGCTGTTGGTTTCTAGTTTCCTTCCACTGGGCTTGCCACATCACATATGGTTTGCTATGTTGTGTTTTCATTTTCATTCACCTCTAGGTATTTTCTATTTCAATTTTGATTCCTTCTTAACCCATTAGTGTGTTTAATTTCCACACATTTGGAATTTTCCAGTTTTCCTGGTTTAATTTCTGGCTTCATTCCATTGAGGTTGCTAAAGATACCTGGTATGTTTTTGGTCTTTTTAAATTTATTGAGACTTGTTTTGTGGCCTAACATATATATAATCATCCTGGAGAATGTTTCATGTGCACTGAGAAAAAAATGGGTATTCTTATGTTGTTGGGTGGAGTGTTCTGCATATGTCTATTAGGTTCAGTTGGTTTATAGTGTTTTTCACAACCTTTATTTTCTTATCAACTTTTTTCATTGTTCTATTATTGAAAGTAATGTAGTTAAGCCTTCAACTACTATCCTGTAACTGTGTATTTCCCTTCAATCATGTCATTTTTTTTTTTTTTGCTTTACTTAGCCCCATATTTGGGGGCTCTGTTAGATGGATGTTGTAGACTGAATGTTTATTTTTCACTTCATCAAAATTCATATTTGGAAGCCCTAATCCCCAGTGTGATGGCATTTGAAATGGGGCCTTTGAGAGGTAATTAGGATTAAATGAGGTCATTAGGGTAGAGCCTTCATGATGGGATTGGTGCCCTTGTAAGTAGAGACACCAGAATGCTCTCTGTCCGTCTGTCTCCATGATCTCAAAAAGAAGAGGTCATGTGAGCACACAATGAGGTTTCCATCTGCAATACCCAGAAAAAGCCCTAACCAGAAACCTATCATGTTGGCCCCCTTTAGCCTTTAGAATTGTGAAAAGATAAATTTATATTGCTTAAACCATCAAGTCTATAGTATTTTGTTATGACAGCCTGAGCTGACTACTGTTGTACATATTAGGGTACTTCAAAAGTTTCATGGAAGTGAAACTTTTTGAAGACCCCTTGTATGTTTATAGTTGTTATATTTACTTGCTGGATTGAAGTCTTTTTTTTTTTTTTTTTAAAGATGACCGGTAAGGGGATCTTAACCCTTGACTTGGTGTTGTCAGCACCACGCTCAGCCAGTGAGCGAACCGGCCATCCCTATGTGGGATCCGATCCCGGGGCCTCGGTGTTATCAGCACCGCACTC